CATTTACTATTATAGTTTTTAAAAAGGAATTTACAAATTTAGTGAAGAGGTGGATTATTGCTAATGTTCCTTTTTGATGCATTCCCATGAACCCAAATATCCACTTTTCCATATACATGTATGATTATTGTACTTAGACCCACCCTAACACTCTCCAGGTCAGATGTGGTGCTGCTATGTTTCTCCGTGGCAAACCCAGTGTCTCTGCGAAACTGCCGGGTCATGTGGTACCCAGAGATCCGGCGTTTCTGCCCCAACACTCCAATCCTCCTTGTGGGCTGCAAGAATGACCTTAGATATATTTGTAAAGATGAGCAGTACTTGAGTTATTGTCGAGACCGGTCCCCTCTCGTTAGGTGCGTTGTTGGTGATGCTTGGGTGTTTTTAAATGTTTATTAATATTTGATATGTGTGTGTGTGAGTGTGTGTGTTTATTTATATATATATTTCATATGTGTTTGAATTAGCAGATGTTAATAACTATCTCTTTCATCCCAATAGACCAGTCCGGGAGTGTGACCTGGTCATGCCATGTGAAGGAAGAGCAGTTGCCCGTGAGATTGGTGTAGAATACTATGAGACATCGGTGCTTACTTACTTTGGGGTAAATGAGATATTTGACAATGTGATTCGAGCCGCCCTCATATCCCGGAGACAACAGCGCTTCTGGATGACCAACCTTAAGCGCGTCCAGCGACCTACGTTACAGGTATGTGGGGATTTATGGGTATTTGATGCGTGACGGAGTGTGATGAGGTTATGAATGATAGTCTTTTTCTGGTTTTATATTAGTTTGAGAAAACTGGCTAAAGCTCAGGGAGAAAAAGAATAATCATTGTAAGTGTTAGGCAAGTAAGTTTTCTTAATCCTGTTTTGACTATTATTTTCTGGTAAGATTACAATGCCTCATTGATCCAGACGACTTTTACTGCAGTTCGCCAACAGATTCATTTCTCCTTTCTCGCCAGGTGCCTTTCTGCCCGCCCAAGCCCAAGGTTCAGGATCCTTCTACTGTTGGGAGCACATTGCGTGAGGATTTCCACTGTCTTCTCACAAGCGCTGCCTTCACAGACCTGGTGCTGGTTGCTGGAGGTGGACCCACGGCTGGGGGCACCATTGTCCATGCTCATAGGTACTGGAAGCTGATAGATGTCCTTTTCTGATGATGTATTCATAAGTCAAGGGTTTAGGAGTGTTGCTTTCAAAGGGTGTTTATGAATTATACATGCTTTTTTGAGGCATTTTTTCAAGAGTCTTTGGACTGTTGGTTTTAAGGCCAGTGATGAGTTATGAATATTCTTTTGATATGTTATTTTAACTTATTATCAGAACTAGATATAAACCTAAGTTAATAATTCTGTATTCTGTAATTGTGCATATATCTTCTAGGTTTTTGGTGGCCTCTGCATCAACTGCCTTCCATAAGCTGCTCATGACTGACCTCTCTGACTGTGTTACTACACGCCGCAGCTCAGATTCGAGCATGGTATGTACAAGTGCATGTGTATAGTATGAGTATATAAACATGCATATGTATTTTTGCATTTGTTTTATATATACGTTTACATGTTCATGTATTAATGAAAATGCAACAGCAGGCCTTTATATTCATATTATTTTGCAGTTGAGTGGAACATTTGGTGATACCAACCTTGGGAACTTCAACTCTGATACTGAATGTCTCCTTGGTAATGATCATAGTCTGCAACGCCCAGCAAGGTTCGTATTAAAAGCTGTTTCTTCATCCAGGTATGTATTGTACTATAATTTCTTGAAAAAATATTCTCTAGAATAAAAAGGACATATGTTAGATATTTCAGTGTTGTGCCCTGATTTTTCACTAATTTTGATGATGGTTTTCCTTTTTAGTCGCCTTCGGGAGGCTGTAAAGAGGAGATCAAGTATGCAGACTTTACCCCAAGAACAACACCCGGGTATTCACAGAGAACTTAACCATGCAGCCTTCCAAGCCATTAGTATAGAACAAGTAAGATCACCTGAAAACTAGGCAGGGTGTATTTATTACTGGTGCAATTCAATAATGGCATCAGTTCTAAAAGAAAACTACTGATGAAATATAAGGAAACATGTGCCATATTGACAATATAAAAGTCTTTTTCCACATGACATAGAAATTAGAGAATTTGTTCTCAATGTTTAATTACTTTTGGTATTTTTCAGAAGTCATCTTTGATATATTTGACATTCTATTTTTGGCAGATATGTTCTACAATATCTCTGAAAATATAAATTTCTACTTTTGATTGTTAATTTCTTTTCAGTGGGATGACAGAGGTAGTGACAGAAATTCCTCAGATCGTAGCCCACGCCAGTCCCCAGCCTGGGTCCCAGTTCAGACAGTAGTGCAACTCAGTAAGCTAGTGAGCAATTCTGCTTTACGTATTATTGTACATTTCCTCTACACGGGCACAATCTTCTGCCGTGAATGCCATCTGCCAACAGTGGAGCTTAGCGAACTGAAGCAAGCAGCAGAGTTCTTAGAATTGCCTGAACTCCAGACATATGTTACCAACCTAATGAACAAGGAGGAGTTCCTCAATAACGACCTCTCTCAGCAGTACCTGCAGGTAAATTGGAAGTCTAGATATTGCTTTAGTTGTGTTTTCATGTATATGTATATATTATCATGGCAATTCAGAATTTAAGGTAAGTATAGTTCATAAAAGAATTTTCATAAGGTTTACTGAAATGATTTAAATAGTTTATCAAAATCTACTTTATAAAGAAGTGACTCATACTGTCGGGGGATATTTTTCCAGATGTTGTGTGGTCGACTAAAGGAACTGTGCTTAGAAGGTGGACTCTTCTCAGATGTCCTTTTCCAGTTAGAAGACGGCACAGCCTCTGTCCACAGACCTCTGCTCATGTCGCGCTGTGACATGATGCATGCCATGTTCTCTGGAGACTTCAGAGAAAGCAATGCCAAAGTGGTATGTGTTCATCAGCCACCTTCTTGTCCTTGTTGTATGTGCTTGAACAGGTTTTATGACATTAGTGTATGGATTGCAATTTTGATTTTATCAAATTGATAGATTTTAAATGATTGAAAAACTTTTATAGTCACAATTTGTAGCCAGTCTGGAAAAAAAACATTGGTAATAATAGTGTGTGATTTTATGTTTAAAGACCATATCAGTCCATTTTAGGGTAAATATTTGATATTTGTCTTATTTAAAGATAGTTTGTTCTTTATCATTTCAAGATCAAACTAGCAAATACCTTTATTTACCTATTTATAAGGTAAATCAGTTATTTGCATTTTTATAGGGAATTCGTGAGGATTATTGTAATAGATGTATAGTGGCTTATCTTAGTGTTGCAGGTAAATCACTATATGCCTATCTTTTTTGAATGAATGAAGCTGTAATTTATTAATAATGACTTATAACTCAATATACAGAATGGGCTCCCTGCATTTCACTATTTGCATAGCCACAGGTTATATTCAATTATAGTTTGAACTTTTCAGCTTTTTTTACATGATCATCTAGAAAATATCTTTCATGTTTGTAATTGATTTTAAAGGATTCATAGGAACATCCCCTTCAGCAACAACAATTCCATTCTTTTTGCAGATTACCTTCCCGGGTGTAAAGCTCAGAACGTTCCAGGTCCTGTTACAGTACTTGTATACTGACACTATACCCACACTCAAGACCAGAGAATGTCTTCCCATTGTGGAGCTGGGCAACCGCTTGTGTCTTCCTCGTCTCATATCATTGGTCGAAAACGAGATCATTGATCTTTTTCAGCGAGTGATACAGGCCGGCGGTGATGTCAGTGAGGATTGCATCTACCTTCTTGAGCCATTACAGGTCTGATGAGCACCCTTGTTTCCTTTCAACATTCTTTACTTTATTGTGCTTTTAAAACAGTGTTATGCGCACTTACCAAGAAAATGCAGTATATGTGTATTTATATATGTATATATTTTTTATTGATATTCTCGATTAAATGATGAGATCCTTTAGTCATTAATTAGTTTATAATTTATAATTGTTAATCCTCATTTTAATTATATTCAGGTACTTTTAAGCAGTGTGCCAAAAACTCCTTCAGAATTGAAAATAGATTATATTACCTGGTTATGTGAAAACAACATTTATAAGGGTAACACGGAGATTTTATTTGATTATTTTGTTTTTGTTAATTACAGATGCACAATGCTCATCAGCTAGTGGAGTGGTGCCTCACATGTATGGCAACAAACTACAACCACGTCTGTAACAAGCATGCAAAGCAATTGCGTTCACTCCACCCAGAAAATCAGGCATATTTGAATAGACATCGATGGCCTCCTGTCTGGTACGTACTTTGAGAATGATGGGAACAATTTTGCAATAGATCTTGTAACCAGAGTATCTATATTTCATACTAGTAGTAGAGGAACAGTTGATTATTGAATGCCATTGACAGCGCCTTATTTTGTTTTCTCTCTGTAAAACATCCATGTTACAAAGAAAGTAATAAATGTCAACATTTCCCCAAACATTTTCTTATGAACAATAGAAACACCTGTAATGTACTTCAGTGTATTTACTTATACTTTTAGGATTTGATTTACTCTCATGAGAAATCCTCCCCCCCCCCCCCATTTTCTTTTTCTTTTTCTTTCAAGAAAGGAAATTTCTGTCCCTTGTGTACTTTTATCTATTGTAAAACTGTAAGTAATAAATGTTGGTATGTCCTTTGAGTAATTATGATATCCAGGTGTTGGGAGTCGTTGGGAGAAGCTCTGATGATTTGCCATATGAAATATAACAAAAAATAAGTAATGATGGAGTTATATTTATGATATATACTTGTTATAGTGTGTGCATGTTTTTTTGTTTTTTTTTTAGCCCAGTGCTTAGATAAAACTAGGATATAGAAAATTCCAAAATTTTGTTTTTACTCATTTTGAGCTGATTCGCCATACAAATAGAATGGAGGACTGTCCATCATATAGTTTAAAAGAGGAAATATATATATTTATAACTATGACATGTTTCGATGTGATTGCTAATTACACTTTCTTTCAACAGGTACCTCAAAGACTATGATTATTATGAGAGGTGTTTAGTTGAGCGACAGCGAGAAGAAAACCCCATCAAACCCCTGAAGAGGTCTCGGAACACTGCTGGCTGTCTCTGCTTCACATCCAAGAGCCGCAGGAATGCAGAGAAACAAAACTATCGCACAATGTAATTAATCCTTTTTTACGTTCTATTCATCAGAGGATAGCTTATAGTATCCAGACGTCCCAGTTTGCGCATCTCATTGCTGTGATGCCATCTTTGATATTTTTTATATGGTGATAGAGAACTATTTCATGGTTTCTTTCTTTTCTTTACATGGCAATGTTATAATTGTAAAGCTTAGACATGAAATAAAGTATCATGGATTGCATCACTATTAGCCAGTGCTTTGTTCATAGTGTTTGTCTGCCATTTTGGTGATCATGTCACTTTTTGTTTTTGTCTTTGTTTTGAAACTTATGTGTATGTGTATGTGTGTTCTTAGTCAGAGTAAAGTAATAGGTAATAGTACATTACTAGCTTGATTCTAATAGATGTACACACATGCACCACATGCAGTCAATATAGTTTTTTTTTTTAATCAATTAGACCCTAATATTGCATTTTGTTTTTTTTTAGCATTAATCTTAGTTTTTGCCAAACTTTATATTATATTTTGTTCTTATTTAGCCCCCCCACACAACTCAGATTCATTTTCTGAAGCCACACTAATTTTATAGAAGGGCCATGGACACCTTAAGCCTGTTGCGTGCGTCTTTGAGAAGGATCAGGAGATGGAGCCCTGCCAGCTAGTGGGACAGACAGGCAGGAGTCTGTCACAGCCTTCTACAAATTCTTTTGTTACTGCTCGGCCTTGTTTCTCGTCATTGTTTGTTTTTATTTTGTTTTGTTATCTTTTTTTCATCTTACAAAATGCTTTGGACTGTGCATTTGGCCAATGCTGTGTGTATTTTTTTCTATGATTGAATTTTTGTACTCCAGAGTGTATTGGAGGCACGGCTTTTTATTATGACAATAAACTATAGTTTGTATGTTAACACAGTGATTATCAAATCATTACTAATCACATGAGTCATTTAACTTTAAGTATTAGACACAATTAATAGCCATGATAGGCATTTCTGTGTAAACCAAACCCCAAAGTACAAGTGATTCATCACCAAAGGTAAAAGATTTGTCATTTAATCATTATCATTTTTCATAATGCATTGTTGTCTTAGTAATATTAACTGAATATGGCACATCATATATCAAGTACTGTTTTGTTTTTTTACAAATACATTACTAATAACCCAAAGGGCCCAAGAACAGATTTTTTTCTTGATTCTTGAATTCAGAACTAGATGGATATTAGACATATTGTTAGGTTTTTGACACTGTAAGGAGTAACTGATGTTGATGTAAATTTGGAAAAATGTTGTGAGGCAATTCTATTGGTTTTGTTTTAATAAGTATAGATTGCTTTTGGTTGTAGTTTCATAAAAGGAATTTGGTATCAGATTTTTTTTTCAAGCTTGAGACAGACATAAAATTGCCCAGGATCATTTTGTGAATTTTTGATTGGGAAAACCTTTTGTCTCAAAAATATTATAATGAATGAATTGTCAAATATACCTCTGGTTATCAGTGACTATTAGTCTATGGCACTATTAGTATTTTGGATGCTAAAGAATCCCAGAATAAAAGAGGATTAAATTTTAAAAAGATTAGAGAGTATTATATTTGTTAAAGATGAAAACAGAACTAAGTGAAATGATATAGGAATGTACATATTACTGAAAACAAATTAATTGCTATTAGAAAGGTCAAAACTCAAATTTAGCAACTTTTGAAGTTGTTACCCTCTTTTTAACAAATTTTGCAATGAGTGATATTCATTATGATCATCTTACATTTAGGGAATTTAAATCCTTTGACTTTAAGGGGAATGTTTTTAACTTATGCCAACTGAAAGAAACAAAAGAGAAGGAAAAACCTTATGGTTCTTAATTAGTGTGGTATTCAAGGAGTTCTATATATCACACTGAGTAAGTTTCCCTTGTTTTCCACACCCACAGCAAAATGTGATAATGCCTGGACCATTTTCTTTTTCTTTTTTTAGGATTAGAATAGATAAAGCTGTTCTTGTTTATCTCATAGATCCAAGCCTTTTTAAGTCATGACTTTTACTTCCATTCATGTTAATTCAGACTGTAGTTGTAATTTTTACTTCGTCCCACATGTTGTCAAGTACACATCTAGCGCAGTGCTCATCATAGGAAAATATTTGATGTATAATTCCACACTCCATAATCCATGTCTGATTTAAGAAGGTTTGGTAGATATAAAAGCTTTACAGCAAGCTTTTTATATTATTATTATTAGTACTGTTTTGTTTTTTTACAAATACATTACTAATAACCCAAAGGGCCCAAGAACAGATTTTTTTCTTGATTCTTGAATTCAGAACTAGATGGATATTAGACATATTGTTAGGTTTTTGACACTGTAAGGAGTAACTGATGTTGATGTAAATTTGGAAAAATGTTGTGAGGCAATTCTATTGGTTTTGTTTTAATAAGTATAGATTGCTTTTGGTTGTAGTTTCATAAAAGGAATTTGGTATCAGATTTTTTTTTCAAGCTTGAGACAGACATAAAATTGCCCAGGATCATTTTGTGAATTTTTGATTGGGAAAACCATTTGTCTCAAAAATATTATAATGAATGAATTGTCAAATATACCTCTGGTTATCAGTGACTATTAGTCTATGGCACTATTAGTATTTTGGATGCTAAAGAATCCCAGAATAAAAGAGGATTAAATTTTAAAAAGATTAGAGAGTATTATATTTGTTAAAGATGAAAACAGAACTAAGTGAAATGATATAGGAATGTACATATTACTGTAAACAAATTAATTGCTATTAGAAAGGTCAAAACTCAAATTTAGCAACTTTTGAAGTTGTTACCCTCTTTTTAACAAATTTTGCAATGAGTGATATTCATTATGATCATCTTACATTTAGGGAATTTAAATCCTTTGACTTTAAGGGGAATGTTTTTAACTTATGCCAACTGAAAGAAACAAAAGAGAAGGAAAAACCTTATGGTTCTTAATTAGTGTGGTATTCAAGGAGTTCTATATATCACACTGAGTAAGTTTCCCTTGTTTTCCACACCCACAGCAAAATGTGATAATGCCTGGACCATTTTCTTTTTCTTTTTTTAGGATTAGAATAGATAAAGCTGTTCTTGTTTATCTCATAGATCCAAGCCTTTTTAAGTCATGACTTTTACTTCCATTCATGTTAATTCAGACCGTAGTTGTAATTTTTACTTCGTCCCACATGTTGTCAAGTACACATCTAGCGCAGTGCTCATCATAGGAAAATATTTGATGTATAATTCCACACTCCATAATCCATGTCTGATTTAAGAAGGTTTGGTAGATATAAAAGCTTTACAGCAAGCTTTTTATATTATTATTATTGTTATTGTTATCATTATTATTATTAATTTCACCATCAGATGTAAAGCTTTGTGAAAAAAAAAACTTATTCTTAAAAAGAGTTTAAGTGATAAAGCTTTCTCATGTTTTTATAATGTAATAACAGGACATGTTGGTGTATTGTTAGTACAGAGTGCATGTAAGAAAGTGTTGTGTGCATAGCTATAGTTTGGGAGTGAATACATGGGAATTATCTATGGGTATAACACAGCCCATCAATTGTAATCAGCCATATCATTTGCAGGTACTTTGAAATGGACGGTTGATTAGGTTCTTGCACATGTTGAAAAGAAGGCATCTTAGATACAAGGAATTGCAAGTGAAGTTCACAAAAGCATTTAGAACTTGAAATAGCATCTAGTCTGAAAGCCATTCATTGCTCACTCAACGACCAAGCTTTTTTGTAGTGAATGGTAGATTGATAGTAAGGACATGATGATTAAAAAAAAAGAGATGGGTTTGATTTGTAGAAGTAAATGCAGCTTTTTTCTTATAGATATTGTGTTAAGATATTACCAAAAACCACAAGAACTATTTATCATTTTACATAAACCATTTATATTCATTCAGAAATATGGTTCAGCTTCCACTTTGGTTACAAAACTATGGGTTGTTTTTCCAAAAATAGCCTTGGCATTGTAGGTAACTAATAATCATTCATAAAATGAAGAATGCAAAAGTACAAAATTAGGCATTAATCCTGAAACATGATTTTGCTATTTCCCAAAATATTTCGCATGGGAATTTCTCCAATATTGAAATTTCTTTTGATATACAATATATTTGAATTTGTATCTTCCCCTCCAAAATATGAAAGCTATATTTATACACAGTCAGATGGAATATGGTTTAAATCGAGCAAATGGTATATCTGCATAATTTTTAAACGGATTTTGGCAGACTTTTTTACTTTTATTATAGAATCTCTGGGGGATCCTTTTATCAGGTTGTCCTCGTCTTCCCTCACCTTATTTTCCAGCTGACTGTGAGGCCGGTGAAAAGGCCACACCGAAAACTAGAAAACATGTGGAATACTGACTGAAATATTTGTGAGCAAAGAATGATACAGTCTTCATTTTGTACAACAGTCGGAATGCGAAGGACAATTCCACTGTTTTCACCTCACTGACGATATTTGAAACACTTTTCTATTTTGATTTTGGAACTGAAGGGTGTTTTTACCGATGATAAAAAGAAAAGAGGAAAAAAGGCATTAAAGGGTGCTCCGTATGCTTATTGCTCATTCCACCCATTCCCAGTAGTCATCAGTAGTTGGAAATTAGAACAAGTGTTCACTCTCGCTGGACCCTTCAGGTGGAAAGTAACTATGTGTCATTTTATGTAATGGGGCAAAGCTGCAGCCACAGAGACGTTTTGTAGTCGTGTCTATGATGCCTTTGGGAACTGGGGTGATGTTTATATTGATTTATTGTATAAACTAGTGGGATGGGGGGGGGGGAGACTTCTCTTTTCTTTGGGGTTGAATTTTAAAGTATTGAAACAAAAATTTTATGCAAAATTTCGAGATTCACATGCGGGGCATTAGAGTAAGAAAATCATGTTCATTTGCTGTGTTTTTCTCAGGGTTTAAAACCAATTCATCCATACAAGTGATAAAAAGAAGAACAGTGAAGATTTTTTTTTTTTTTTTTTTTTTTTTTTTTTTTTTTTTTTTT